GGTCCCTGCTGACTCTCTGGTTCTATGACCCAGCCTAGCACTTCAGCATGTGTTGAACTTCAAGCACATCTCAAGCCCTCTCAGTCAGTGGTACCAGGCACGGGCTGGAAGGGAAGTTCACACTTCCGCCCTTCGCTAGGCTGGGACCAGAGTGCTCAACTCCTTTGCAGGATCGAGCATTTAGGGCTCAATCCCAGGCGGGGCCAGTCTGCCCCCCACCCCCGCCAGCTGCACTCAACCCCTGGCAGAATTAGGCCCTTACACTTGCCAGTGACAGCAAAGCGAAGGGTCTGGTTCTCTGACTGGGTACAAGTCCAGCACTGCTCCTGATTTACACCACCTGAGGCAAGAGCCAGGCTCTGAGAGTTTGAGGCTGCAACTTGGTCCTTAACCTCTTCCTCATCCTTTTCCCCCAGCCCACCCCTTCAGGCCCTCCCCCTTACGGCAGCGACAGCCTGGGGCAGCGAGTTCTGACCCCTGGAGCAAAGGAGACCGCAAATCAATCAGTTTAATCTCCAGTTTAGAATTTCCCGGCTGCAGGGAAGTGCCCCGTTCAAGGCGAGTTGGCTGATCGCTGATGCTGTTTATTAGTCTCGCTTAAACCACCCAGGGCTTTGATGGTCTTTTCCCAGCTGCCCGCAGCAGCCTTTTGAACCGAGCCGAGCAAAGCTGCGTGTGCGTGTGTGTAGATACCCATCAGCTCCGTTTGTGGCCGCAGCGAAAGGGAGGCGAGGAAGCTGTGTCCACAGCCGTGCCTTCGCATGGGGATCGCATCAAAGGGTGACACGTAACGTTTACAGGTGGGATCGGAGGAGACGAGCAATAAAAGACTTAATTAGAATCAGGTTTCAGAGTAGCAGCCGTGTTAGTCTGTATCCGCAAAAAGAACAGGAGTACTTGTGGCACCTTAGAGACTAACAAATTTATTAGAGCATAAGCTTTCGTGGGCTACAACCCACTTCTTTAGAATCAGGGCGCTGACATTTGGGTTTTACAGTCATCCGAAAGGTTGCGGCTCCCCTGATCCACGAGCAGCCGAGGGCTTCTGCTGTCAAAGCCGCTTGTGATTTCTGCTGCGTGGCTTCATTAATTCACAGCTGCCAGCCTCTCCTGTACACCTGCCCTCCCGTACGAGCGCCTATTGGCTTCCAGACATTGATAAGGGAGCGGCACTCCACAGCGTCTCGGGGCTTGCCATGCTCCACACGGTGTGTCTGACAAGAGAGAAAAGGGGATGGAGTGGAGTCTGACACCACCCCACAGGCTCATAGTCACAGCAATTAAGCCTTACCCACGCACTGGGTCAGTCTCATTATCCTGGAGGGGAAACTGAGGCACAGAGCGGGGCCAGGACTTGCCCCAGGCCACCCAGTGAGACCGTGGTAGAGTCAGGAACAGAGTCAAGCTCTCCTGACCCCCCCTCTCCTGTGCGTTCACTGCTGGACCATGCGGCTGTCACCGTTCCCGTTACAAACCCAGGGTCAGATTCTCAGCTGCTGGAGCTCCGGCGAATTACACCAGCTAAAGAGCAGGGCCCAGGTTTTTCTTGGGGGTTAGCTCAGTGGTTTGAGCATTGGCCTGCTAAACCCAGGGTTGTGAGTTCAATCCTTGAGGGGGCCATTTAGGGTTCTGGGGCAAAAATCTGTCTGGGCTTTGGGCAGGGGGTTGGACTAGATGACCTCCTGAGGTCCCTTCCAACCCTGATATGCTATGATTCTATGAACTCCATTGAACCCCCCTGGCCTGGATCCTGGATCAGTGGGGGTAGGGAAGGGCTCCCAGGGGCAGGTTATCCCACATCTGGGTTTTCTTGCCACTTCCTCTGAAGCATCTGGTGTTGGTCATGGCCCTCAGGTCGGATCGGTCCAGCCAGGCTGACGTTCTTGTGACCGGGCACGCAGCGTTTGCAACAGGGTGTCACCCCCATGCTGCCGCCGGCTGGAGACGTGGCAGTGTCATGGCACAAAACAGCGTGACACAAGGACAGTGTGGCCGAGCCCCGAGCTTCAGAACTCCATGAGATTGTTGAGTGAGGGCTTTAGAAGAATAAATGTTGGGTTCTTTTTATTTCCCTTCTGGCTTTTGAGCTTTCCGGGTACCCTTGCGTCACGTTGTCAAGCTTTTCTCTGCAACCACAAGGGCTTGAAACTTACTTTCCCTCTGGAAGCTGAGATTCTCCAGCAATCGCATCATTCCAGCAGCTGGGGCTTTAAGGAAAACACTAGAGATCATGATAAACTCACAAATAGACTGTGCTGCAATGGTCTTTGTGGCTCGTCCCAAGGACCCCAGCTGCGCCTCTGACCCAGTTCATCTCGCTGCTAGGGGTGTCAGAGACTCCTAGGAGTGTAGAACGTGGGAGGTGTCCTGGTCCATATTAGTTTTTATGAAAGTTGTATACATTTCTCTGCGGGTTTGGTGGGTATTGTATTGCTGACACATCCTGTAGTAACCCAGGCCAGGGGCTGTAGACAGAAGTAGACCAATACTTCCAATAGCTAACCACTCCCCAGTAATTAAAGGACAAAGCAGAGAGCCTACTGCTTTCAAGTCTAACCTGACCCCCCCACTTCCCCTGCTCCAGTTTGGAGCAGGTTCAGGGTCTCAGGAAGTTCAAGGAACTTTGAATTGGATCGAGGACAGCCTGTGAACTCAGAGTCCGACACTGGCTAAGGCCTGGTCTACACTACGACTTTAATTCGGATTTAGCTGCGTTAATCCGAATTAACCCTTCACCCGTCCACACTACAGAGCCAGTTAATTCGAATTAAAGGGCACTTAGAATCGATTTTTGTACTCCACCTCGACGAGCGGAGTAGTGCCTAAATCGATTTTGTTAATTCGAATTAGGGTTAGTGTGGCCGCACACCACCGAATTACTGTGGTTAAAGTAATGGGGTAGTGTGGCCGCACACCACCGAATTAATGTGGCTAAAAACCGAATTAATGTGCTTAGTGTGGCCGCGCACAATCGAATTTATACAACCTGTTTCCCAAATTCGAATTATCTACATTCGGATTAATCCTGTAGTGAAAGATGCCGGCTGAGCCTCCGACTCAGAAGAGGGGGCTGGGGCAAGTGGAACCCACATAAGGAGGCAAGGCGCGTACAAGAATGAGGTGAGATAAGATGCATTTGGGGTCTTATTTTAGCCCTTTTCTCGCTGAGTGGGATGTTCCTGTGGGTAGAGGAGCCCAGCTCTGCTTGGAACAAGCTGGTCTCGGTCGCTGCGTTTAGCAGCTGTCACGGCTCCCAAAGAGGATTTTAGAGCAGGGGCCAAACCCCGCTGGCCGAGCTGGAGGCAATACAGCTGGGAAGCAGGGGGGTGCTGTACCCTGGTGGGCCGGTCAAATGGAGAGTGCACGGTGGGGTTCCACTCAGAGGAATGCAGGTGTGGGCCCATCCACTGGGCGTGTGTCAGAGCCACGCTCGCAGGTCGCGCTGCACAACGCCTGCTTGTGCAACAGACCTTGGAGCCGATGAGGGCCTTTTACACAACCACCTTTCCTGCATACCGGTCACAGGCATGCAGGAGTCCCTCCAGCCCAAAGCCAGCCCCCCAGAACAGCCAGAAGAGGCATTTTGTTCTGTTCCCCTCGTCTACTAATTCACACACTTGCAATTAAACCTGACTTGAAACGTGCAGTCAAGGCTCCATCGTCCCCTGCCCCGTTGTGTTTGTGGTTGCTAAGACAAGGCTTGAGCCCTAGCCCCACTGTTCAGAAGCCCTGCCGGCCCCCGGGGACTGATCAAAGAGCCAGGTTTCAACTCCCTGCTCCCCCACTGCGTTAAGCCAGAGCCTTATCTTAAGAGAAAAGGGGCTTAGGGCTCGTGGGACCCGGACTTGTCTTCTCTGCCAGGCAGTTTGCAGGATCAGTGTGTGCGTGTGCGTGCTGTCTCACACACATGGACTTGTTTTCATTCACCAGCACCCTCTCTCTCTCTCTCGCAGCCAAGCAGCCGTCTAGGAGCAGTATTGTACGCCGAGACACCCGGCCTTTTTAATGACTTCACCGTTAGACTTTCACATGCCACTTGAGTTTTGTCGCAATTGAAACACTCGCACAGATCACCCCCAATGGCACATCCCCTTCTTTGCCCCCAGAACCGCCCCCTCCCAAAGCAATTGTGTCCCAAGCCGGAGCAGGGATGGCTGGGTTCCCAGCTCCAGCTCTGATCTTGGGAGCTGCCCCGGCCTCGTTCCCCCACGCAGGGGAGAATCGGACAGAACAGCCATCGCCAAAACACAAAGTCATGTCCATAGGGTCATTCTGTCTTGGGTTTCTTGCCTCAGCTGGGAGTTTCCCAAGGCTTCTCGGGGAGCTGTCCGGAGTGCTGAAATCCTTCTTGGCTTGGGCATCGAAGCAAGACTTCAAAGGAAGAACAGTACAGAGGCATTCCCCCCTCGCTACCCCCCCCCCCCCCACACCCTGCCTTAGAAACTCTTCTCTTTCCCCTATAAGTCTGTGACTTTCAGTATACCAGAGGGGATTGAGACGCTCAGTTCCCATTCATTCGAATGGGAATCGGGAGTCCAAAGCCCTTAGACAGCTTGGAAAATCTCCGCTTAGAGCTGATCTCCAGGGATTTTGTTCCCTAAACACTTGGATCCCACATACATTTTAAGGACTGACTAGATTCCCTCCCCCCCCCCGCCCACACACACACACCCGGCTCCCCCATTAGTGTCATTATTTGTATTCCAGGGCCCCCCAAAGACTCCAGTGCAGGGAGCTGAATGAACAGACACTACTGCCCCAAATGTATCCGGATAGCACCTAGTGACCCCCATTGAGATTGCAGCCCCTTTGCGCTAGGCGCTGTACATACACCAAGCAGGAGACAGTCCCTGCCCCGGAGAGCTTGCAATCTAAATAGACAAGACAGACAAAAGGTGGGAGGGGAGACGGAGGCACAGAGTCAGGGAGAGACCCCAGTTGTCCTGGGTCCTAATCCGGTGCCTCAGCCATGACCCCTCGACATTGAGATGAGCGGAGCTTCACCCACAGCACAGAGGCTCAGGCAGTTCCCTCGCTGCTGGCCGGGCTAGCAGGGCTGAGCCCTGCCTGGGGTGGGCTTTGCTGGCACGTTTGCTGAAGGAAGGGGTTACCTTGAGCAAGAGTCCCTTCAGCGCCTCTCGGAACTCCCTTCTCACCAGGCAGTAGAGGATGGGGTTGAGGCAGCTGTTGGTGTGAGCCAGGCACACGGTGACGGGGAAGATGTACGCCTGGGTGTTGTAGAAGGCTTCCGTGAAGGGCACCAGGTTGAATTTGATGAAGATGCCCCAGGCCGTCAGGGCTTGGTTGGGGAGCCAGCAGATGAAGAAGGAGAGCACCACGATGGTGACCGACTTGGTGACCCGGGATCTCGTCTTGGGGTTGCTGCTGCTCATCCTCCTCCTGCTCAGGAACCGGAGGAGGAGGATGTAGCAGGCCGAGATGATGGCCAAGGGGATGACAAAGCCCAGCAGGACCTTCTGGGTCTGGTACAAGCCCAGCAGGAACTGGGGGTCGATGTTTTCCAGCTCCGGGAACTTGACCAGGCAGAGCTCATCCCCGGAGACCCTATGGGTGGTGGAGAAGATGGCGTGTGGCAAGGTGGCTAAGGCGGCAAAGAGCCAGATGATGGCACTGGCCACCTTAGCCAGGCGCCTGGAGGAGGAGCCCTGGTCGGCCTTGAGGGACGACACCACTGAGCAGTAGCGGGCCACGCTCATGGCGGTGAGGAAGAAGACGCTGGCGTACATATTCAGGGCCGAGACCGAGGAGATCAGCTTGCACATGGCCTTGCCGAAGGGCCAGCTGAAATCCAGGGCCGTGTCCACCGCCCAGAAGGGCAAGGTCAGGACAAACTGGAAGTCGGTCACCGCCAGGTTGAGCACGAAGCAAGTCACGCTGGACCTCCTCCGGCGGCGCCTGGAGCCCAAGAGGAAGAACACCAGCAGGTTGCCCAGCAGCCCCAGGGTGCAGACGGCGGAGTAGACAACCGCGATAGCGATCCGGGTGGCTTGGGGGCCGTCCGAAGGCAGGAAGGAGACCAGGTCCGCCAGGCTGTGATTGGAGATATTCCCGCTGCCTCCTGCCGGGAGTTTCTCGCCCCTGCTGCAGCAGTTGTGCTCAGGCATTGCGCCTGGACTCTCCTCGCCTTCCCTTTCCAAGCCACGGCTCTGCTTTCCGCGGCTCCCACCAAGGTTCGGATCCGATCTCTCGGCACCGCTCCGTTTGGATCCGCCTGCGGAGAGCCCCCTCCCTGCCACGCGTGGCCGGAGCACGGGAGCAGCCAAACCGCTGCCTGCTCCCCCCCCCGGCTAACTCTTTCCTCTCCTGCACCCGCTCCCTTGGCAGGGAAACAGCAGGAGAGGACGGTGCGCCGGAGCGGCTCCGGCAAGGAATCGCCGTGTGAACAGGAGCAATATTAAGGTGACTTTTACCAACGTTCCCCCGTAGGATGATTACCGTATTTCTTCTTGGCCCTACAGCAGCGCCCAGACCTCCCCCCGCCCCCGACTCGGCATCAGCGTCTCATGGTGTTTGACGCCGTCCAGACGGGTAGTCAAACGACACGCCTTGCTCGAAACGGGGGGAAACTGAGGCACGGAGCCGGGAACTGAGACCTTGGACAAAGGGCTTCCCCTCCCGCCTTTGTCTATTTAGACCGTGAGCTCCTTGGGGCAGGGACAGTCTCTCACTGCGTGTCTGGGCAGCACCTGGTGCCCCAGGGTCCATACCACCTCTAGGTGCTACTGGAATATACCTGCTAATAATCTGACTAGCTGTGGTAGGTATCTGGCCCCCCCATCACCACCGTATCTGAGCTCCTCTCACTCGTCAATGCATTGCTGTTATCCCCATTGTACAGCAGGGGGACTGGGAGATTAGGGGATGCACCCAAGGACACAAAGGACATTTGTGGCAAAGCAGGGGCTTGAACTTGTGTCTCCTGAGCTCTAGGCTAGCTCAGCCCTAACCACTGGCTCGTCTCACGAAGGGCAACGGCAAGGTGCAATATGGGTGAGAGACAAACAGAGGGTGGGGTGGGGGGCGGGAGAGGAGGCGGCCTCAGCAGCAGGAGCCTGTTTCAGTGCAGACGAGCCGGGTGCAACGCAGCCCTGTGTCTATTACTCTGTTAATACAGGTTTGCCAGCGCCTCAGACACGCTTCCACTGTTAGTTGTTGTTTGTATTGTCATAGCCCCTGTCAGGGCCCAGGACTCTGTTGCGCTAGGCGCTGTACAAACACAGAACCAAAAGGTGGTCCCTACAGTCTAAGTAAGAGAGGCCTTCCATTCCACTCCAGTTTTTAACCTGTTCCCGCTACCGTATCCCAAAGCTTGTGGCTGGGAACGGCACCAGGGATCATTGCAATGCAGCCCCCTCTGGTGTGAAATGTTGGCAGCTGATTACCAGAATATAGCAAATCTACACAGTCGTGTGTGACAGGCAGGTCCCGTTTCACACCCACTTGGCGCTGGGGATAATTCAAGTTGCAGGGCAGCGGAGAATCCGGCCCGGTGTTTCTTTATTGTTCCTGCCACACTCACTCAACTTATTCCTGATTTACACCAGCGAGGGAAGAATCTGCCCCTGCAGTTTGATCTCTTCTACCCTACCGATCAGCCAGTGTCGTCTTCAAACAACCCGTGGAAGCGAGCATTGGGGGAGGCATTTCAGTTCTCCAGGCTGAATTTCCAGGGGGGCCAGATCTTCATTTCCAGCATTCTCTGGGAGTCATTAGGAGTCAGAATGGGATACAGGGATCTTGCAAGGCTTTTTGACCCAATTTAATCCTCTGAACAAACACACCGTCTCCGGAGGAGAGATCCACTTAGCAGATAACCACTGCTCTCCCCGCACTTTAAATCCTCTACCTGTCAGATTGAAAACTGCATTCAATTTCCCCTCTTGCCCTCTTCATTTCACCTGCCAGCTTCCAGCCTGGAGAGGCTGACTGCTGGCTATTTAATCTTAAATTACACCTTTGTCAAAAGCACTTTCCGTGAGCGTTGGGGGCATGTCGCTAGCAGGGCGGTGACCAGAGCGAGCCCCCAAGCCGCTCACCTGGGTTTGATTCCTAGCCAACATGACAGTGAACTGGGCTGTTCTAAAGAGGACGGTGATCAATTGTTCTCCATGACCACTGGAAGTAGGATGATGTAATTGACTTAATCTGCAGCCAGGGAGATTTCAGTTAGATCAGGGGTCGTCAACCTTTCAGAAGCGGTATGCCGAGTCTTCATTTAGTCACTCTGATTTAAGGTTTCGCGTGCCAGTCATACATTGTAACGTTTTTAGAAGGTCTCTTTCTATAAGTCTATAATATAGAACTAAACTATTGTGGTCTGTAAAGTAAATAAGGTTTTTAAAATGTTTAAGAAGCTTCATTTAAAATGAAATTAAAATGCAGGAGCCCCCCGGACCAGTGGCCAGGACCCGGGCAGTGGGAGTGCCACTGAAAATCAGCTCGCATGCTGCCTTCGGCACGCGTGCCATAGGTTGTCTACCACTGGGTTAGATATTAGGAAAAACTTTCCAAGTCTCAGGGGAGTGAAGCTCTGGATCAGGCTCCCAAGGGAGGTGGTGGAAGCCCCGTCACTGGAGGTTTTTAGGAACAGGTTGGACAAACCCCTGTCAGGGCTGGTCTAGGTTGACTTGGTCCTGCCTCAGCGCAGGGGGCTGGACTAGGTGACCTCAGGAGGTCCCTTTCAGTCCTACATTTCTATGATTCGCTGAGCTACGCCCAGTATCAGGGGGTAGCCCTGTTAGTCTGTATCTACAAAAACAACACGGAGTCTGGTGGCACTTAAAGACTAACAGATTTATTTGGGCATAAGCTTTCGTGGGTAAAAACCTCACTTCTTCGGATGCATAGAATGAAAGTTACAGATGCAGGCATTATATACTGACACATGGAGAGCAGGGCGTTACTTCGCAAGTGGAGAACCAGTGTTGACAGGGCCAATTCAATCAGGGTGGATGTAGTCCACTCCCATTACATGACACTACGCCCAGACATTATCCTTAAATTACAGACGTCCCATAAAACATTTAGGGTCCAATCCTGAGTTGCAAGTACTCAGCACCTCTCCAAATCAGGCCCAGAACAGGTTTGCAGACAAGTTCGATTCAAACTGGGGGAGGAGCTCCCATAGATTGTGCCTTCCTGCTGCTTGTCCGCGTCATTAAAACTGCCACTAATCTTTAATTCGTAGTGCCCACGAGACACACACTGGCAGCTTCTATTGTAGCCAGGCCAGCGGCTGCGCCCCACCACGGCGCTCGGCGTAGGTGACGCGGAACAGAGCGATTGAAAGGGTCTGTTGGGGAGATCGCGCCTGCAAATAGGAACCCGGGAGGATCAGAGTGTCCTGGGAGTCTGTAGAGTTGAGCAGCCGGGGGAGAAAATTGTCTGCAAAAGAGCCGCTCTGATCAGAAAGTGCGTTTCGATTTGAGTGGATTTGATGGGGACACACTGATGTTTGATTTCCCTAGCAGTTGAGTCATGGAGGCAGTGTGACCTGCTGGACAGCGTGCTAGGAGCCATGGAGTCTGGTCCCACCACTGCCACTGACCTGCTGGCTGACCTTGGGCAAGTCACGGCCATGCTCTGTGCCTCAGTTTCCCCCAGTTATAAAACGGGGACCTCCTTCGTAAAGAGCTTTGCGTTCTGTGGATGAAAAGTGCTAGAGGAAAGCGAGGGTTCTGTGTTATTATTATTATAGTCACTTGTCAGATTGCAATTGGCAGGACTGGCTGGTGGTCAGTCCCATAAAGCCATCCAATCAGGGAACAGAAGTAATCTGCGACTTAAACAAGGAACCCTCGCAGGGTGCCATGGGTGAAATTCAGCCCATGCAGGAAGCCAGCGCGAAGGCCAGGCACAACTGAAATCCTTAAGTCTTCAAATCAGGGCCTACAGAGGACGGCAGTGACACACTGGCCGTGTGCTAGCCTTCTGCACGGGGCTGCGTTCGAATACACAGCGGGGCTGTGATGGGTTAGGGACATAGCAGTAAGTCATGGGGGATGGGTTCTGTTCTCGGATTGCATGAATTAACTACGCTCGGGCTCTGACTCAGGTTTGAGCCCAAGCCCCACTTCCGTCCACACAAATCAGTCTGACTCGGCTCAGCAAACCCTCAGGCCCAAGGTGGAGTCTGGATGTGGCAGAAGATGCTGGAGCAGGGGTGTGTGGCGTGACGTGGGACTGTGTTCTGGGCCTGCCCCAGACCAGGTGCACCGTGCGGGGGAATAAATACAACATGACTTGGGCTTTCCAGGACGCCGGGCCGGTATGGGATAATCAGCTGGCCCCGGGTAGGGTCCTACTGGACCCAAGAGTCCTTGTGGTGTAGTCTCTAAGGGTGGGTCAACACGGCCATTAACAAGAGAGGTGGGAGGGTCCCAGAGCTCCGGCCACAGCCCAAGCATCTGCACCCTTCGCCCGAGCCCTGCATGCCCTCAGCTGGACGGGCCAGCCGCGGGTGGCTGATTGCAGCGTAGACACACCCTATAAGACCAAACCTAAGAGCCCTGGAGACTGAATCTTCTGGTTATCTCCGGGCCCTGCACTGCCCTGGGGGGCAGAGGGGAGTCAGCCAGCAATGGGGGTGACTTGAACTGCTGCCCTCTAGGAACGAAGGGGACGTGCCTGCTGGGGGCCCCCTTCTGCCCCGGCCCCGACTCGCTGCTGAGCCGTGGTTGCATTTGTGACGCACGCACCTGCCTGGCCCGTGACCCTCCGCTGGGATTTGCAGCCAGGTCTCCAGCTAGGAAAGGCCGACGCCTCCTTATTCTCACTGCGCCCCCGCCCCACCTCTGTACCTGCCCCCTCCTCCTTCAGTCCCACAGGTCTGCCACTCCCAAGGACCCATGTGCCCTCAGCCCCCACCGCCCAGGAAGTGCTACCAGGGCCCTGCTCTGTTGTTCAGCCAGCTACAACCGTATGGTCCTGGACACGTTTATCCGGCCCTGCCCGGGCATCCCTCCCCCAGCTGCTCGCCCCTCCAATTCTGTGCTAGCTCGCTTCTGCTGCCCCACCCCATCCATGAGTGAGCGCCAAGGAGGACAGCGTAAAGCCGGGCGGGCACTGGTGGAGCAGGAAGCCGGGCCAGGGGAATCTGCAGGAGGAGGGAGCCCCCTCCCCCCGGTGCCCTGCCCATCCCCCATGGGGCTGATTTTTCGGAGCCTCTGCAGCTCCCATTGACTTGGGTGCTCGGTGCGTCTGACAATCCGGTCAGAGGGAGAGTGCAGGGGAAGCATCCTCGGGGGCGGGGGGGGGGGGGGGGGGGACGCCGCGGGGGGGGGGGGGGGGGGGGGTGTGGAAAGCCGCGGGCGGTCGGGTGCTGGCCTTTGGCCGTCCCAGTGTTGGCCAACCCCGTATACCTTCCTGGTTCCACCCCCGCCAAACTCCACAGCCGTTTCTTCTAAAATAGTTTATTAGGAGACGAAAACTCAGGCTTAAAAAAAACCAATCCTCATCCCCTGCCCCCAAACACAGAGAAACACCAAATATCCCAGCATCCCCCGCCGGCGCCCCCGGCCATGCGGGGCCCCCCGAGAGAATCGCAGCGTGTGCCCCACTCTAGCCAGGGACACAGGCTGCCCTGGCCCCAGCTGGATTTCGCCAGGGCCGCCCAGAGGATTCAGGGGGCCTGGGGCAAAGCAATTGCGGGGGCCCCTTCCATAAAAAAAGGTTGCAATACTAGAGGATACTATATTCTCATGGGGGCCCGGCGGGCCCGGGGCGTGGGGCAAATTGCCCCACTTGCCCCCCCCCTCCCCGCGGCCCTGGATTTCACAGGCCTCCCTCTGGGGAAGGGCTCTGAGACCCTAGGCAGGGTCAGTCGCCACCACCTCAGGGGTTCTCCCTATGCCTCCCCCCCAGGATCTTAGCCTGGGGACTAGGCTCCCCGAGGGAAGTGGGGGAGGCACCCAGGCGGGGCTCACGCTGCCTTGCTTAGGCGGTTCAGTTCCAGCATCTTAGCCCTGGCGTCCCGTCGAACTGCGCGGCCGGGGGCCCTGTGCACATGACCTCAGGCAGTGTCTCTCTCTCTCTCTCACACACACACGCACAGCTCCTGACGCTTTCCCTCTGCCTGGCGGCTAAGCCGGATCCCAGCACGGGGCCTGGTGCATCACAGCTGCCAGGTGCGGTCAGTGCTGCTTTGCTGAACTCAGGAGCAAGCTCTCGGCTCCTGAGGGGTTGTGCCCCCCGGGCTGTGCCTGGCCATTTCAACTCCCCACCCCATCCCCTCCGTGCCCCCCCAGGAGAGGCAGTGCTAGGAGCAGGCAGAGCCCGAGCCCCGACTCGCTTGCACTCCAGCCCCCTAGCCAATGTCCCCGGGGCCTTCCTTGAGTATTAACCAGCTCCCCACACCCTGGGGAGAGCAACCCGTGGTTTTCCAGCCCGTCCCCCGCCGTTTTCACAAAGGGCCCCGCTCCCCCTTGCGCCTCTCTCAGACAGGATCGGCTCCCATTGGGAAACTGCCCGGTCCCCTTCCCCGCTGCCTCTGGATCCCCCTCCTCCCCCCAGCCGCTCCAGGCTGCCCAGAAGCCTGCAAAGTGGAGCTGCAGGGCGGCCCGGTTTCTGCCCACCTCCCCGGGCCTTTGAGGGGATTCTGGGGCTATGCACCCAGAGGCCACGTGCCATGGGGCCGGGAGGGGACCGACCCATCCCTTTCCTGGACCGCTCTGTGCAGGTCCCCACCTCCCCTCCCCAAGCCGAGGGAGCACAGGGAAGAGACACAGATGTGGGGCTGGGGTGGACGGGCAGCGCTGGGATAAACGTCTGCAATCCTCAACGGGCGTCACCGAAAGGGGGGAAGGGGCAGTAGAGGAAGGGGAAATGTCAGACAATTCGCAGGGAAACCTCCCCGCCCATGGAATCTACAGGGGACCCGGCGGCAACCGTGCCCCAGCCCAGGGGGGTGGAAGGCTGGATGGGGGCCGGAGAGTCTTGTTCCCCTCCAGCTCCGGGCTGGGTGAAATGGCAACTGCCCAGGGGCCAGGCTCCCCTCCCCGGCGATTGCTGGAGCCTCCGAGGAGCCAGCTGCCCCCCCTCTTTTGACCCCCCTTTCTCTCTCACTCTCCCCACACACGCACTGCCCCACCCCACCCCGGGCAGCCCCCGAGGGCAGCACTCCCATCAGTGCCCCCACCCCCGGCCGGGGTCCTGGCCCTCCCGCTCACGCCGTCGCTGGCCGGGCACGGGGGAGGCAGCCGGGGGCGTTCACAGCTCCTCGGCCGGCTCCAGCCGCACCTGGCTCGGCTGGCTGGGCTCTGTCCAGGCCAGCGAGGCCGCCATGGGGCCGTCGTGACGCAGCCCCTCCGAGTCCGAGTGTCCGTCCTGCGGCAGGGCCCCGGTCCCGTTGGCCTGGGGAGCCTCTGCCCGGGGCCTGGCGAGCGCCTGGCTGCTGAGGAATTTGCGGAGGACTCCCCGGGGCTCGCCCTGGGCCTCGCCGGCGTACTCCGTCCACACGGGGTTCTCTGGCTCCTGGGGGCTCTCGGCGCCGTCCTTCATCAGGGCATAGACCACCCGGGAGGAGGCAGCGTTATGGAGAGACCTGGAGAACACTGCCACGGGGGAGCAGAGGGGGCACAAGCCCAATCAGTGGGGGGTCTCCCAGCGCCAGCCGCCCAGCACCATTCAGCAGTGCCCCTCCCCCCCGCCCTTCCCCCACAAGTTGTGAGAATCATTCCGCACCCCATGGTTCTTTACAGGGCACGGAAATTGCTCCACCCAGCACTACCATGCAGCCACCTCTGGGGTGGAACCGGACATCTGCATAACAGTATACGGCAATGCTGCCTCGGGATTGTGTTTCCCCCAGTGCTGAAATGCAGCCACCTCTGGGGTGGAACCGGACATCTGCATAACAGTATACGGCAATGCTGCCTCGGGATTGTGTTTCCCCCAGTGCTGAAATGCAGCCACTTCTGGGGTGGAACGCGGCGACTGCTTAACAGCTCGCAGCAACCCCGCAGTGCTCTGCGGCCCCAGGAATTAAAAAGAGCCAATGTCTAGTGAAAGCTCCATGGGGCATTTAGGAAGGCAGGGCTACCCAGGTTGGCATTCAGACTGCAAAAAAAAGTGCCAGGGGAATTTTTATTAAACCAAATTTTAATGTAAAGCCCTTGGGTTTTACTTTGATTGGGAAGACGGCAGCTTCCCAGCCCAGCCCCTGAATGGCGGGGGCGGGGGTACTGCCTGTGGACAAGGGCTTAGCTTCAGCCCTGCTTACCCCGCCACCGATGTCATCTCACATCAGTATCCTCCTGGTGTTACATACTGGGAAACTGAGGCACGGACCTGGGGACAGTGCCTTGGTCACCCAGCGAGTCATGGCAGAGCCGGGCTTGAAAGGAGCTGTCCTGTCTCCCAGACCTTAACCACAACACCGTCCATTGCCCGTAGGTCTGTGCAGGACCCCTCAGCTCCCAGGGAGCAGCCGGCATGTTGTGGACCCCTGAACTCCCACTGCATTCTGCACATTACCAGCACGTACCTCTCACCGGCCCAAAGTCACCTTCCGGCTCCGCTTTATTGGGGGCAAAGGGGCTGATGGAGGGGAAGACGATCAGGGCGAAGGAGAGCAGCAGCACCTGCGAGTCGGAGGGAGAGAGACGTCAGCTGGTCCCTCCGATAGTCATGGTCTCCTGCCCCACCCCCGTCTGTGGGTTGGGGGGGCAAGAGTAGGGGAACTTGGGTACCAGCCAGAGGACCTACTTCAACTTCCCTAGGGACACTGGGAGCAGGTCATGAGTCTGTGTCTGTCTGTCTTCCATCCCCATTCATACCACAATGTCTGTCTGTCTGTCTGTCTGTCTATCCATCTCCATCCTCAGTCTGTCTATCCATCCATCCATCCATCTCCATCCATACTCCTCTGTCTGTCCATCCATCCCCATTCATACCCCAATGTCTGTCTGT